CTGAGCCGAAGGCAGTCGCCCAACCGACTGAGCCACCCAGGCACCCCTAAACGGGGTCACTTTCTAAGTTTCGTTGCACACTGTCTTCTGCTAGCACACAGTGCTTCCTCGTATACTGACCCTGTTACCACCGCTTATTAGCTCTAAGTTCACTGCAGACTCATCCACATCTTCCAGTAATGCAGTCACGCGGTCTCTGATGGGGCTTCTTCCTCCCCAGGCCTCCATACGCCTCTCACTTCTGTGTCGTGTCTCAGGGCACTGCACACGCCCTCCAGGGCGGTGGGGAAGAGAACGGTGCTAGACCCGCGTCTCGTCCTGGGTCTCAGGAGGAAGCTTCCAACTGTAGGGCTTCTGAAGACGCCCACCTCAGGTTAAAAGCACTCGTATCCACCAGCCTGCCGAGAGTGCTGCTCCCCAGCCTCGGCGGTGCTCTCCTCTCCCTATTGGGACAACCCAGTAGGTTCTCTTACTTTATGAACACGGCGGCTTACATGGGTTATTTCCAAACGTAAACCAACTCCGTACCCCCAGAATAAGCCCCACTTTGTAACGATGTATTACCTTTTTACGTACTACTAGATCTAGCCTTTTAGTGATGTGGTTAGGGTTTTTGTCCCTATGCTCATGAGAGAACATGTTAGTTTCCTTTTTGTGACACCCTCATAGGAACTTGGAATCACGGTTTGCTGGCCTCGTAAAGCAAGGTGACATGTGTTCCCTCTTTTTGTGTTTTATTTAAGAGTCTGTATAAACTAGTAACACTTATTCCTCAAATATCTGGAAGAATTCACCAGTAAAGTCATCTAGGTCTAGAGTTTTTTTGGTGGGATTTTAACAATGGAAATTATTTAATTATTGATTTCATGTCTGTAATAAATACTGGGCTTTCCAGACTTTCTGTATGTCTTGGTAATTTACATTTTTTTCTAAAAAAAAAATTTTCTATTTCACCTGTCAAATTTATTGATGTAAAGTTGTATCATAGTATCTTCAAACTTCTATTTTTCCTAGTGTGTAGCATCCATGATATGCTCATTGTCATTCCCGATACTAGTAATCTGTTCTCTATGTATCGTGACTAATCATGTGGGATTTATTATTAATCTTTCTAAAAAAATGTTTTGGCTTTGTTGGACTTGTCCAATATGCATCTACTTTATATTTCATTGATTTCTGCTTTTTCCTATCTATTTTCTTAGAACTTAATTTGGTGTTGCTTTCTCAGCTTCATGAGATTGAGAATGAGCTCTGTGACTTTCACACTTTCTTCTTTCTGAGGGAAGCATTCGGAGCGCTGCTTCAGCTGCATCCCAAGTTTGGATTTGTTGCATTCTCTCCGTTGTTCACTTCACGATCGTTTCCAATTTCCACTGTGCTTTCTTCTCTGATTTATGGGTTCCTTCAAATTGTATTATTTTCATTCCCAAGCCTGGAAATTGCCTTTTTGGTATCAAATGTGAGTTTAATTGCGCTGATCCGAGAACGTACTTCAGGTCGTGTCATCCCTCTGGAACATGCGGAGACTGGCTGGAGAGTCCAGCACGCGCTGCACACCGGCAGGAACGCACACTCTCCCGCTCGCTCTCCCGCAGCTGGTTACCGTGTCGCGAGCGACCATTTGGCAAGACCATGTTCATTAATCGCACTGACAGAGTCTCTCAGACCCTCCCCAAACTTCCCTGTTTCCTTCATTAGTCGTCTCGACAGGTGTGTTATAATCTCCACCTGTGACTGTGGATTTACCATTTTTCCTTTTATCACTGTCAGTTTTGTCCTGCGTATTTTGAGGCTATGTTATCAGGCACAGAGGCAGAACCACATCTTGTACGTGAATTACCACGCTGTCCTGTGAGGCAGGGCCGCCGCTCCGCACGGACTCGCTCACTCTGACCCGGGCACGGGGCGCCGGTCTTCCTTGCGCAGTGGCTTCACACGTATCTCTGTCCATCCTCTAACTCTCAACACGTTTCTGGATTTAGAGTTAACCAAGTCTGACAATCTGGGCCTTTTCATCGGAGGGGTCAGGTCGATCTGATGGAGTTATAAACAAACCTGGTATAAATCTACCATCTTACAACTTGTTTCCTGTTTTCCTTCCTATTTTCTTTTTTCTTTTTTTGGCTTTCTTTTAAATTAGTCAAGTATGTTTTATTATTTCCTGGTTATAACAACTTACCATGTAACTGATATTCTCGTGTTGTCCGTCAGTGTCCCCTGTGTAAGGCGGGACACACTGGCTCACCGCAAGCTGCCATAGGCCATAGCTCCTGTCGCTTCTCGGAGGCTGCAGACACGCAGTGTCCACGCGGCTCATCCCTCTTCCTGTGCTGCCCGCCGGTCAGGCTCCTGGGAGTTGCTCCGCGTCCAAGCCCCGCAAGGAGGGACCATTGTTCAACAGCCAACGTTAGCTCAGATGTGTCCACACATCAGCGCTTCCAGGACGCGCAGCCCCTCCCGCTGGCACCCATCTGCCCAGGACCACTTCCCTGTGGTCCTGTCAGAGTTCTGTCGATGGCAAGATCCCTCTGTTTGTGCTTCTCCAAAAATGTTTTCATTCTACCCTCATTTCTTAAAAATATTTTCAGCAGGCATGGAATTCCACGTGAGCAATCACTTTCTCTCAGCACTTTAAAGACGGCTCCGCGTTGTTGCCCAGCTTCCATGGACCCACCTCAGGCGTCAGGTGTAAGTCTTGTCGCTCCTTGAAAAATGCCGTGACTTCTCTTCTCGGGCTTTAGTCTGCTTTTAGGATTTTTTTGTCTTTGGTTTTCAAATTTTTATTATGATATGAGTACTGGTAAGTTTATCCTGTTTATCACAGAGGTTCTTTAAGCTGTGGCTTGAAATACTTGGAGAGCCTTGGAAAAATCTCAGCCATTACACCGTCAAGCGCTGTTTCTGTCCACTCTCTCCCCTGTTCATCCAGGACTCCAGGCGCACTCGCGCCTCCCATTTCTATCAGTTTCTGCTCCCCGGAGGGCCGGTCGGGTCCAAGTCAGTCCCACGCAGCACGCAGAACTGTCCGCACTCAGGACTGTCTCCAGCCTGTGCCAGGGAACTAAGGTCAAAATGCTGGTTTTTAAAAGGTTCTTTGCCAAGTCAGGCCCCCTCGGATGGGGCCTCTGCCCAGTGCTTCCCACTTCTCCCCAAGCACAAAGGGCACTGGATGCTGGGCCGTCACCTAACGCTCACAGACCACAGGAATCACTCGGCACCCACCTGCTGTTTGCCACCCCGCTGTGCCGTGGGAAGCAGGGCTCTGGACTTCTCTGCAATTTTCTGTTAAAGAATGGAGAAAAACAGGAAGAACAGAAAAGGTGGGGAAGAGAGAAGAAACGGTCAGATAAGCACAAGGTAGTGGACAAGACCTGACAGCAGAGCCCACCTTCAGCTCTGTGACAGGACGCAGCTATCCTGGGCCTCGGGAAAGCTGGGTGCCGGGCTGGGTGCCAGGCTGGGCTCTGCCAACAATCTGGTGGATGGCCCCCTCCCCCACACGTAAGCCCTGGGTCTCAGTGTCCTCACCTGTCAGAACAGGAATGCCCGTTCTTCCCACCTGCCAGGTGCCTCCCAGGCAGCACCCGCAGGTAAACATCCCTCACTACACAGGTTGCGGTCACGGCTCCTGGCAACTGTCGGCCGTCTACAGGCCTGGCCCTCTGTCTGCTCTAGGGCACGGGACCCCACCAGGCCAACCCAGGGACAAGACTGCCAGAAGGGGAGCTGCAGGGCCCAAGGCCCACCCCACCCAGCCCGCCAGGCCTCCCTGGGGAGCCGCACCTTCTGCACCACGCCGTAGCGCTGAATGGCATCCGAGAGCTGAGTTTTCAGGCGGTCCAGCTGAACACACTCCTGCTGCAAAGGGAGAAGGTGGGCTATAAGGACAGCCGAGGCCTCGTCCCGCCCGCGGCCTCCTCCATCCCTGGGCGCTGCAGTTCCCCACGATCGGCCCCCCATCCACAGCCTCACGCTGCCGCCACCACACTGCTGTTGGACTGGGCTCATCCCCGTCTACTGTGCCCCAGCCATCACAGGCCAGCACCCGTGTAGACGCCATCCCCAGCAGATCCCGCATCTTCAGCCCTGGCCGCGGAGCGAGGCGCTGCTCCACGATGCACCTGTCTGGTCCCCACAACGAGAAGCGTTACGACTTCTACCTGACGGCTCAGGAGGCCTCAGCCTGAGTTCTAAGTGGGTTCGTGGCCGCACGGGGGTGGAGGCAGGCCATGAAGCCCGCCGCTGACTCCAGGGACCTGCGGCCAATCACACGCCAGGCTGGGTCTCACCCCCAGGGTCAGAACTGCACTCATCAAACCTCCCTCCCACCACCAGGCGCTCGGCAGTGCGCACGGCCTCCATCCTTCACGTCTTGTTTGCCAACATTGACGGGGGGCCAACACTCCAGCACCCCAGTGCCCCGGATGATGCCTGGCACACAGCCAGCGCTCAAGACATACGGCCGAGCAAGGGGACAGACCAGCCAGCCCCGAAACCCGGCACTGCCTGCTCAGGTTTGCGTGAGCACCGCCCGGCCGCCAGGACCCGGCGCTCACGTCCCTCCAGGCCACACCGGCACAAAGCCACACCGATGCCCTGTGCCCTGCACCAGAACCACGACGTGGACTCCTGGACCCTCCTGCCCCCATCATCTCCCAGGAGAGGCAGACCCTGCATCTCAAGTCACAGAGTGTCCACCCCTGCCGGGGGGCCTCTCTCCACCTCCAACTGGAACTCAGCCCCGAGCTTGGTGCCCGCCCCTCTGCCGCCGCCATGCAGCTCATGTGAGCCCCTGCAGGAGAGCAGGCTGGCCACAGTTCAGGGGCCCCAGCTTTCCGATGGGCACTTTTCAGAGGGACTCGGTGTGGTCCCCATGTGACTGCGGGTCTGAGGAGCCTGTTTTAGTGTCCGGGGGAGGCTCTTGTGAGGGGCACTCTGTGTGTGTGCCGGGACAGAGCCGAGAGCCCAGGGACTCTTCAGCGCTCTCCGGGCTGGGTGATCCAGCATCAGCCCCGTGTGACGGGCACAGCCTTTTCTCCGAGGCAGTAGGGAGCAATTCCAGCACCTCCCAGCCAGGCTGTCCGACCACGGAACGGCGAGAGCCTCATCTGTGGCCTTCTCTCAGCATCTCACACACAGTAGGTGTTCAATCAGTGTGTGTTGGGTTCTTAGATGGGTGGATGGACAGACGGGTGGCTACATGGGTGGGTAGACAAATGGAAGGACACATTAGGCTAAAGGCGATCCCTCCACCCCCCAAGGAACTCAAGCTCGGAGTCTCGGCCCTCGTGGTGCACACAGTGACCATATGGACTGTGGGCCCAGAAAAACCAGAGGGGCAATCTAGCCGAGACTCCTCCCTGGCTGAGATGCTTTGTGCGGGACACTCTCCAGGCCTCGGCGTCCCTCCAGATAAAGGGGCTGAGGACAGCAACAGGCAGGACGGCCAGACGCACCCGACGTGAGCACATGCACAGGGCCACACGGCACGTGGCGTCTGCACTGGCCCTCGCTCGGCGGACCGCCGCGGTCACCGGGTGGTGGCAGAGTCAGCTCCCTGGGCCTGTCACGGGAACCCTCCCCAGCATGGTCCAGCCTCTGTCTGCAGAGGCCACACTGCCACATCCCGGGCCGGACAGGCACCCAGGTCTGCCGGTGTAGTGGGCAGGCGCCCTGGGCAGCGTGTGATGAGCTTTACTCATGAACACGGCCCCTCTCCCAGGACGGCCGAGGGTTTAAGAGTAATTAAGGCTTTGTGACCACACACCCCCAGCCTTTGGGAATGGGGGAGGGCGTGGATAACAAAGATGGGGATGTGCTGAGCTAGTAAAAGGGGGTGGAGAGAAGTAAGCGGCCAGGGGTGAAGGGGACGGGGGAGGGGCTGCATGGGGAGGGGCACAGGTGATGTGATGAGGGTCAGGGCTGTGAAGGGGGCCATGGCTGCAAGGATGGTGGCAATTGTGACCCCATGACTACGTGTGTGCTCTGATGATGGGCACTGGCGTGGGTGAGGACGCGGTGGTGAGGGGTGGAGGGTGGGTGATGGGAGGTGGCGGCGGGGGCGGGGTATCAGGCGTCTCTGTCCAGACAATCCGGCTAGGACTCGGGGTCTCCACAGCAGCGCTGGGCATACAGTAGGCGCCCAGCGAGCACATGGAGCTCCAGCCCAGGGGGCGCACCGGCCAAGCCCAGGCCAGCGCAGGCATCCTGGGCCCACCAATCTCCCCAGGGGCCCCCCGGCCCCAGGCCTTCCCCCCACTCCGCCCCCCCGGCCGCCAGGGCCACATACCCGGGAGCAGCCCCGCAGGAGCGCCGACATCTGCCTCAGGGCACTGGTGCTGGCCGCGATGGTCTTGTTGGTCTCCTGCTGCACCGTGTGCCTGCAGCGGCCAGGGAAGAGAGAGGGGACGGGGAGGGGACGGAGGGAGGGGCCAGGGTGGCAGAAAGGCGACCGGACAAGAGCAGGAGCAGGGGTCAGGGGTCGCAGCGGCACAGGTCAACAGGAGCGGGAGAACCAGTAGGAAGACCAGAGGCACAAGAGAGCAGCCACGGGAGGGGATGAGGGCCCAGAGGGACGGACGGACACACCCACAGATGGAGAAGGCAGGGACAGGGGCGAGGGAGGAGGGAGAGAGTGACAGGGGTGAGTCTGGACTGGGGCGGACAGCCCACAGCGCACATCACTCCCGAGCTGCCACGGTCAGGAGCCCCTCCCCGCAAGGCCCCTGCATGCCCCGCACACAAGTTGCATCTGGGCAGTAGCCTGGGCCCAGAGTCCGGGGGTCAGCGAGGTCGGGAAGCTGGGGGAGCGGCGTGGCCACAGACACCCCTGGCACCACAGCCGCTGTGGGCCGGGGTGACTCTCCCACCTCCAGACCCGAGAACACTGGGGGCCGGGCCCCGGACTGTGGTTTGGGGCTCTGAGTGTGACCGCGAAGGGACTGAAAAAACCAGCTCCTCACCCGCTGCGGGGTGACCACGGCCCCCCTGAACAGAGTGACACCAGGGGCAAACCCTGCCCTCGGGCCTTCTGCGGGCACGTGCACCAGAGAGGAGCCCTCCGGACCCTCTGAGTTGCAGCATGATGCCCCCTTTGCTCCCTGCAAGACCCCGCGTGGCAGGGGTGGGGGCACCGTCTGACCTGCGCCCGGGGCCCTGACACCTGCCCTTAGGCCACACAGATGGTGCCGCATAGAGCCGGGGGCGGGGTGGGGGGATGGGAAGGAGCCCCCAGGCCAGCCTGGGAGGGTGCCATCTGAGGACCGCAGCGTGAGCACCCTTTCCACCAGGCCACCAACAAATTACGGGAAACCGCAGAACACGTTTTCCCCTCGGATTCACTCAATCGTTGCGCACCACTGAGCCCCCCACTCTCCTTACTGCACCTCCTCCCATGGTCCCCACGCTCCCTCCCACCCCATGGCCCACAGTTTGCCCTCCTGGCACCCCTCCCAGCTTGGGGCCATGCTGCTCAAGGGGCTTCGCTGGCTCCTCACCTCCCTGACCTCGTGTCTGCACCTGGAGCTCAGACCCTGGACCACCCTCTTCGCTCCCCGTGCTCGCCTCCTGGGTGCTCTCCTTTAGCCTCGTGGCCTTCAGTCACCTGTGTGCCGCCGTCCCCCACACCCGTCCACACCTGGGCCTGAACTCAGGCCTGGCCCCGCCAACAGCCCGCTAAGCACCTCCACCTGGATGTGCAGTGGCATCTCAAACTCCACGTGCCCAAACCACCCGCCCCTCCGCGGGCTCACCCACGGCAACTCCATCCCTCTAGTCCTTCCAGCCAAAGCCCCAGGGCCGCCCTTCCCAAAGCCTCTCTCCTCTCATTCTTGAGAGCAGCACGACCCTCGGGCACTGACCCAGACTCGGGCCACGTCTCGCCCACTGCTCCCACGTGCCCCCTCGTGCCCAGCACTGCATCTCACCAGCAGCCTGCAGCTGGAACGTCCCGTCCCGGGAGTTCAGCCACGCCCTCCAAACCCCAGAGCTCTCAGGCACGGCCGCATGTTATCCGTGGAAGCACAGTCCCCGCTCCTGTCACCTCGTCCCCGCTCTCACCGTGCTGGACAGACCCCTGCCTCGCTGCCTGCACCCCCTACCACCTCTGCAGCCACCCTGATGGACAACAGGTACAGGCAGCCATGCCCAGGGCTTGTGACCAGCAACAGCCGCCCGGACAGAGGACACTGGACGGATGGGGGCAGCGGGACAAGTGCCTCCGGCTCATGGAGGCCGCCTCCCCTGGGGGGGCAGGCTCGCCCCCGCCCCGTCCCTGCTCCCACCGCCCCCTCCACTTCTGCCCTGATGTCACAAAGAGCTCGCACTCCCGCCCCGCTGTGCCCCCCGGCTAGAACACAGAAGCAGCGCGGAGACAGTCCCTTCCACGACTGGGAGAGCCTGCGTTCCAACGTCTCTTTAAGGATCTCTGCTACTGTGTGTACAGGGACGTGCAGTACGTTTTCTTCTAGTCTGTGCTCAGGTGCTCTGAGCGCTCCGCATTCTGGGGAGTGTGTGGTGTCACTGCGACCTCCAATCCTGGGTGTTTGTGGGAATGTTTTTAAGGACACATGTAAATCCTCCGATAGAGAGCTATTTAGGTTTTCTCTTTCTTCTTAAGTCAGTTTTGAGAATTTATACCTTCTGAGAAATTTTTCTGGTTCATCTTAGTTATGAAGTATCAGTTTATTGTCATAACAGATTCACAGTATTTCCTAATCAGCCTTTTCGTGTTGGATCTGGAGTCCTGGTCTCTCTTATTCTTATTTCTTTGTTACTGGCTCATGCTTTATGAATGAATGAACTTTATTCTACCTGTACGCTCGCTCTCTCCTTCCCTCGTGACTGGCTTGCTGGCTTCTTAGGCGGCCTGTGAATGCTGGCTTTCTGTCTTCTCTGCTGTGAGCAGGTGAGCCCCACTCCTCCTTCCACGGCAGCTCTCACCATGGCTGCAGCCCTCCTTCCTCGTGTTTCATTTTCTGCCAGTCTCCTCCTGTTTATGGTGTGTGCCATTCACACTGTGAGTGGGGCTCTCTACGAGGTTCTTTATTAAAACGAGCACCATGGGGACGGGCGATCTCCAGACATCCTTGTGGCCCTGGCTGCCTGGCCCTGACCGATGGGCGCCCCCTCGGCCCCCCATGAAAGGAATAATAGATCATGACCAAGAGGATTCCATCCCAGGAGCACAGGGTTGACCTAACACTCAAAAAACAATGAATGAAATGCTCATAGTAACAAAATAAATTTTAAAAGGAGAAAACCATCTCTGTAAATTATATAAATTACAAAAAGTATTTGATAAAATTTGACACATATTTGTTATAAAAACTCTAGGAAAACCAGAACAAAGAAGAGAACTTGTTTGGCTGAAGTCCCAGGACACAAGGCAACACACAAAATCAGGTGTATTTCTGTACACTTGTAACCAACAACCACAAAGTGAAATTTAAACAATAATAATTTGTAGAATAGTATTAAAAAACACGAAATTATTAACGATAAATTGAATAAAATACACACAAAACCTGCACATTAACCTTATAAGGAACTGCCGGAGAAAATGGAAGAACACTTACATCAGAGAAATCCTGACCATCTTCACAGGTTGGAAAACTCAAGATTGTTAAGAGGTCAATTCCCCTTAAGTTGGTCTATAGAGTCAATGCAATCTCAAGTAAAATTAAAGCAGGATAAGAAAATAGCAGAAATTGACAAGCTATTCTAAAATTGATATGGAAATACAAAGCACTGGAAGTGTCCAAAAGAATTTCACAAAAAGATGAACAAAGCTGTAGGCGTCCAGGACGGATGTCAGGACTTACTCTAAAACTTAGTGATTAAGACAACACGGTGCTGTCAAAAAGACAGACGTACAAACCAATGAAACAGAATAACCCAAAATGCAGCCACACATACATGATAAAGTAATTTTTGGTTACCTTGGTGCCAAGGTACTCACAACAGGGAAAGGACAATCCTTTGAACAAACAGTGGGGAATAACTGGATAATCATGCTAAAAACAAAAAAACTAGCCTGGACTCCTGCCCCATGCTGCATTCCCAGGGGCTCAGGGGAGCTCAAGGGCTCAGGCAGGACACACGGCAGGCAGCCAGCAAGACCCAGGCACCCGCCAGCCTCTGGTGCCCAGGCAAGTCTGCGGAAGAAGGGGCGCCATCCAGCCGAGCTGCACAGGGAGGCAGGGGTCAGGAGGCTAAGTGAGGGGCAGCGTCGCACACGAAGCGTGGCCAGGGCGGGCAATCAGCGGTCAAAGGAGGGCCTGGAGGCTCAGGCCCAGGAGCTCTGGAGGAGCACAGCAGGGAGGAGACACGTTTGGGCAGGAGAGCCAGGGCAGGTGAAGGTGAGGGGCGCCCACGGCCACCAGCTACGTCTCTTCAGGGGACAGCGTGCCACGGGAACGCCACAGATGTGTGCTCCCCCAACATGGGAAGGAAGCAAGAGAAGGAAAGAGGCTGGAACAAGGAGGAGGAGCCAGCAAAGGAGAATGACGCATGATCCACACCAGGGAAGGCAAAAGCCCAGGAGAGCAAGGGATGCACAGGCTAGAAGCTTCTAGAAGGAGAGAGTATCTCAACAATAAAAAGACCAAAGAACCCAATTCAAAAATGGGAAAAGGACCTGAACAGACACATCTTCAAAGACATACAAATGGTCAACATGTCTGTGAAAAGATGCTCACTCAACGTCGTTATCAGGAAATACAAATCAGCATCCTAGTGAGACAGCGCCTCGTCCCCACCAGATGGCTACAGTCACAGACGGGTAACAAGTGTCGGCGAGGACGTGGAGGAGTCGGAAGCCTCGCGCACTGCTGGTAGGAAGGTAAGGCGGCGCAGCCACCGTGGAAAAGTCTGGCAGCGCCCCAGCGTTAAACACAGCCAAGCCCAGCAATGCCACGCCTAGGTGCCCCCTCGAGAGAACAGAAAACGCTCGTCCACACACGAGCCCACAGCAGCCTTCCTCATAACGACCCAGAGGAAACAGTCCCCAGCCCGTCAGCTGATGAGCGGTATGTCAGCATGCTCAGGCTGCTCTAACAAATACCACGACTGGACGCCTTAGAGACAGCGGACGAGTCCCCTCACGGCTGGAGTCTGGAAGTCCAGGATCGGGACGCTGGCAGCTTCCGTGTCCGACGAGGACCGCCTTCCGGTTCACAGATGGCACCTCCTTGCAGCATCCTCAAAGGGTGGAAGGGGCCAGGGGGCTCTCTGGGGTCCTTTTACACGGGCGCTCGTCCCATTTGTGACGGCTGCCCCCGCAGGACCTACTCCCCTTCCTGAGGGTCCGCTCCTAGCCCCGTCCCCCTGGGTTAGGTTTTGACCTATGGATTTGGAGGGACATCCAACAGTGGAATACTACTCAGCCATTGAGGCCTTGAGGAGGTTCTGGGAAACCAGGAGGAAACTGCCCATGCTCTGTGGGCCCAGCATGTGCCCAACATGTGCTCACCGGTCCCAAGCCCCTGAGGCAAGCACCCGGGCCTGCCCTTACCCAGTCCCACAGGCGAGGCTATCCCCCAGCACAGCAGTGTGGCCACTGGGGATGCTCAAGGGTCCTAGCTGCCTGGTGTCGGGGGGGGGGGGCAGTCAGACAGGAGCTCAGCCCCTGACCCACCAGACCAAAGGGACAGCTGTCCAGGCCGAGGGGGCGGCTGTCCAGGCCCTACACAGCAATCCTCCCTGCCTCTCCGGCAGTTCCCTCCACCCACAGTGACCTCCTCCTCCTCCAACTTGCCTTCACAGCCATCCATCATGCCACTGCATTCTAGAACCTTCCACTGGCTTCCCACTGCTTTGCATATAAAGCCCAAGCCATGTGCCAGGCCTACAAGGCCCATGTGGTCTGGCCTGTGCCCACCTCACTGACCCCCCCGGGCAGACCCCCATTTCGGGGGCTCCTCCAACATGCCCACTGCTGCTTTGGAGTTTGCAGCAGTTTGAAGAGTGGCTGCAAAAGCTTCTAACCGCTCCCACTGAGAGGTGGGGCTGGGTCCCTTCTCCTTGAATCCGGACAGGCTCAATCACACCTTCTTCGCTAGAGCATCTGCGCCGGAGCCCTGAGCCGAGGAAGTTCAGCCCCCGTGAGGCTGCCGTGCCACAGGGAGCCCACATGCGGATGCTGTGGGGGACATGCCAGCTCAGTTCTGCATCTGCCTGCTGACCACAAGTGGTGAAGAAGCTTCTAGATGCTCCAGCCCCAGCTGCGGAGGCACCCCAGCTCTGAGTGTTCTCAGCTGAGTCCCAGATATCCTGGAGCCAACACAAGCCTCCTCACAGTACCTACCAATCTGGCTCACCAGCTCTGAGGTTTCAGTCCCACTGGCCTCCAGGCCTCACGTCTGGCCCCAGGGCTGCTGTCAGGCTTCCCCTAGAGACGGAGCTGAGCATCACACCCGAGTCCTGACAGCGTCCCCAGGTTAAGGTGACAGGTGCCGGCACCCCAACTTCCCGGGAGCAGTTGTGTGCGGCCCGGGAAAGTCCTCCCTCCCCCGCCTCAGCTTTCTGATGGAGTCAGGGAGGCCCTGGGCCCCGAGGCGGCTCCGAGGAGTCAGCGGCAGATCTCAGGTCAGCCCAGATGATGGGGGCCAATGCCACCGCGGACAACTTCTGACAGCAGAGGACAGAGCGGGCTGAAGTGTGTCCCCCCAACCCCGGTTCTTAAGCAAATCCTGGCTCTGTCTCTGCAGCCACGTGCACGCATGACCGGGCTGGAATGAGAAGCTCATGTGGCACCAGATCCGGCTGGTCTGAGCTCTGGGAGGAGGAAGACAGAGCCTGCCCGGTGCCTCCACAGCAGCCCTGGGCTGTCAGCACTAAGCCCCTCCAAGACCCCAGCCCCGTGCAGTGCTGGATTAGTGTGATCCAGGCCTCCCTGATCGCCTCGGAGCCGATCCGGACACAAATCCTGCTGAGGGGAGGAAGGTGCTGCCCACTCGGAGCCAGGGGCAGCCCAGGGCCCTATCCCGCCACCAGGGCCTCTGCCCTGCCCCCACAACCGCCCACCGGGGCCTCCACCCTGCCCCCCCACCCCAGGCCTCAGCCCTAACCCCCGGGCGGCATCGGGCAGACCCTGAGCAGACACCTCTCACACACACCCCCGCGTGGGACCCCACATGGGGCCACCTCGACCTGCACAGGGTCAAGTGAGAGGACATGCATGCAGCAGCCCCCACAAACCTGCGACGGTCAGAACATCCCAGGGAGACCGTCCCCTCTGTCCCACACTAGGAGTGGGACACTGGGTGATCACCTCCCCTCTCCAGGCTGGAAGCCCCCTTCGTGAACACGGACTCACCCCCGCGTTGCAAACCAGGGAGAGGGAGGGGTGCCGTCAGGTTGGGTAAGAATGGAGAATAGGAGTGCCGACAGCAGGAGCAACCCGCAGACCAGCTCCAGGGACAGGACCAGGCCCTCAGCACCGCATGGGGGCAGGGGCAGCCTGCCAGGTACCTGGCCTCCATCGTCAAATGAGGACCCGCACCCCTGTGAGGCAGGTGGGTGAGGCCGGTCACTAGGAGGAGGAGGCACTGCCATGGCCCCCTGAGGATGGGTCAGGGCTCCAGACCACCCACCCTCCCCCCCTTCCCTCCCCCAGGCACACCTGCCCCGTCCAGTCCAGCCTCCAGGCAGAAGCCGCACCACACACCTGGTGATCAGCAAGCGTCCCCACACAGGCCTCCAGGCAGAGCTCCGCTCCCCACCCCCCGCCCCAGCCAGGCCACCCTCCAGCAACACAGGGCAGGGGGTCTCGGGGCTCTGGGGACCGCAGCAGAGCTCCTGAGCTGGGGGCCCAGGCAGACGCCAGACCCTTCAGGAAGCACTGCTACCCTCTGAGGCCATTCTCCGTCCCCCACGGCTCCCTCCACCCGCACCCCTGCTCTGGCCGTCCTCCCACTGCAGCCAGGTCTGACTAGACCTCTGCGGGGCTGAGCCCAGCACCAGGCACGGACGCCCTCACTGCCACCTTCCCACAGGACACCGCTGGGAGGGTCTGGGTCCTCACGTCAAAGACAGGGACAGCCGCGTCACTCTGCATGTCACACAGCCAGGAGGGGACAGGCTGCCCCCCCATGCCCCACTGCTGCAGCCTGTCAGCGCATGGTTCCAGGGCTGAGCTGGCCAGGGCACCAGGCTACAGACACGGTGGGGTGCCAGGGAGTGCGGTGGGGGGTGGGGGGAGGCCACCGTGGGGCGTGGGGGGGCACACTAAGGGGGGGCTCTGGAGTAGAAAAGGCAGGCCATGCTGGACAGCAGGATGGCCCATGCATCCCTTGGGATGCCCTGCTTCATGAGCCTCCAGACATGTACCCAAGCATTGCCCCTGGGGCTATCACCGTGGGCACAGGATACGGCAGTCGAGGTGTTTCTGGGGGAGGGAGCTGAGGAGCAGCCCCTGAGGGAGGTGGCACTGGGCGGGTACTAGAGGAAGAGATGCCCGTGTGAAGGTGGAAAAGTGAGAGGTGAGGGGTTGGCATGCACCCCACACACCCGGGCAGGGCCACCCGCCCGCCTCTGCTTTCTGCCCCCAAGGTCCGCCGGTCCTGGTTCGGGGCACCCAGCCCACTGCAGCCTCCAGGACCCCCATGACCACTCTCCTGGCGTCTCCCAGGCCCCGTGCAGGCCCTCCCTATGCTTTAGTGAGGCCGAAGCCCACAGGGCCCCTCACAGATGCCAATGTGGCAGACAGACAGGGGAGAGCTTGTCTGCACTTCGACCACCACGGGACTCCAGCCTGTTGTGAGAGGCAGGCAGCGCGGTCCAGCCCCATGCCCACTCGGAGGAGCTGGGAGCACCGGAGCACCAGAGATGGGGAGCCGTCCACATCCAGCCCAGAAGGAGCCTCTCTGCCCGCTGTGTGCACAGCCCAGCAGCAGCCAGGTGTGGGCCGAGCCCCACCACCCTGATGCTGTGCCCGGGGCCCTACAAACCGGAGCCAGGCCTGTCCCACAGCGTGTTCATGAGGCTGAGGGGACAGGCCCCTGGCCACAGGCACACTGCTCACACAGGGCTTCTGGAACACCCATCCCTCCATTCCACAGCAGCCAGGGTGACACCCCCAAGAGAGAGACAGGTAGACAAGGTCCCACAGCCACTGAGCTTCACTCCACAGGGGAGAGAGTTCTCCAACCTGACCACCTCAGCCAACTGGGGAGCCCATGACGGTGCCCAAGGCAGGGTCCCCTCAGAGTCCTGACACAAATGCCAAAGCCCACACGTGTCTCACGCAAGGCGAGACGATCAGGCTCAACTCTGCGAGGATCTTAGGCCGCTAGATGTATTCATCTTGAAGGAATGTCCTCTCTCCCGAGATCAGAGCCCACCCGCTTCTGTCATACCGAAATGCCTTGTCTTCTGCAAAGTAAGGGCAATAATGGATTGTAGTGAACCTTTTTTAGTCCTTCCTTGACAAAATAAAAAAGCCACTGACTGTCAACGTGGAGAAAACCCAGAGTTGGCAGCTTATGCTAGCCTCAGTCATTTAAAAATGCTAACAATCCATGATATGCACAAATTCCACCATGAAAGGGGTCCTGGAAGGCCCGAGGCCTGCAGCCTAGTGAGGAGCTACCCCGCAGAGGGGCTCTGGTGGGAACGGGGTTCTGGTTGGGGGG